TTCTACTTTGAGGATATTTTTCATGAGGTATACGTCCCCCATTTGCTTTGCGGCACGATAATCCTCCCCCGCTTCTGTGAACATCCATTGGGGGTCCTTCTCCATGTCCTCCATCATAATTTCATATAGCCCATGCCAGGGGAGGAGTTCGAAGATGGCGGGCCTCGGGACAGGTCCTCTAAGGAGGACTTGCCTCACCGCCGCCATTACCGTCGGTTCTAGGGCCTCGTTTGGAGGTCGACTCGGCATCCTCGGCCTCCTTCCTCTCTCGGGCGATGCGGTCGAGCTCCTTGTTTCTCCTCCACCGCCCAATGTCAGAGTTGGGGTCGCTGATTTCGGCCTGGTAGGCGTTCCAGGCTCTTCTTCTCGCCTCGAGATCGGTACCTGCTCTTCGAACGGCACCAGAGTATCTAACGGCGGCGGCGCGGATTCAGTTTTCGACCTCGGCGTTGGTAGCGTCGGGCTCGAGGGGGAGGTCCCACCAACCTCCTGGTCCTTGGAGAGCGTCCTCTTCGGCACGCCGGATGCGTGCATCATGCGCTCTTCCTCAGTCCATTCGGGCCTCGACCTCTGGGGTGGATCGGGCGTTTCCAGGGAGTCCGAGGGACTCGACGTACGTGTGGTAAAGAAGAGGCCATGGATGCTGGGAGGCCGGGACGGGAGTGGCGAAGGCTCTCGACGAGACCGACGGCTCCCAATTGGAGACTCCGGTGAGTCGCTCGGAGGCGGTAATCGTTCCAAGGTCGTCGGAGTCGTAGTCTGGGAACTCGCCCCAAAGCTCCCCACCCGTCGACTCGTGCGAGGAGATGGCGGGAGTGACCGCTGGGGCCTCAGTCCTTTCAGGGACCTGGTCGGACTCTCCTCCGGGCGCGACTCTGGCCACAGCAGTTTCTTCCCCGTTGTCGGCATAGACCCAGCTGGTCGCGGGGTACCAGGCGACCGGCTCTCCCCTATCAGTTGGCCAGGAGCCTGAAAGAGGCTGTGCGTTAGTTGCACTGGTGGTAGCCGCGGAGGCTCCGAGGCCAAGCTCTCCGGGATCTTCGTCGTAGTCATCCTCCTGGGCGACCCGGTATCTCCTACTTTCACCCTGCCAGACAGCATCCGTCCACCTATTTCCTGACCTTCCGCTGTAGTTGTCTCCGGTATAGGTCGCATCTTCCTCCTCGTTCGGGTAGAGGTCATCGAGGAGGTCATCGAGTCTGGTTCTTTCCCAGTCAGTGAGCTCGTCCCCTTCGAACTCGGTATCAACCTCTTCTTCGCCCTCATCCAGAGGCCTGGTGTCTTGTCTTCTGCCTCTGTCGGCGCCAGACTCGTCTTGGACTGGAGACTGGTCGAAGAGACCTGGTAAGGGCGAGTCTCCTCGGTCGAGGAGTACCCCCCCTGGTATCGGTGATGTCGACTGAGTCGACTGCTGCGCTGGAAGCGCTTCTGTAGGAGTCGGTGCTCGACTCTGAGTATCGCGAGCTGGGTCGCGACGATGTGTATAGGGATCCTCCAGGTTCCCCGGAGGCGTTGGATTCGACATCGCCTATCGTCTGCTGGGATGCCGTGGGAATGTGGATTACCGGCGGAGGGTACGCCAGAGTGCTGGGAACGTAATGGAAGGGAAGTTGCACATGGACTCGTCTCTGTTGAAAACAGCGGCGTAGTTGGTACAAAATAATGGACAAGAAAAAGAATATAAAAGTTGCGAAGACGGCGAGAATGGAGTCGGACCAGGGCATCCGTAATCGGATCTATCCTTGGCGTAAGTCCACAATTGACCATGCAAGCTGATACACAGCGAGTATGGTAAGAACGATGAGGAGGGCGATAATCAGACTGAGGTCGGTCTCGTAGTTGGAGCCATTCATCAAAAGGATTTCGCAGTTTTCGGAGGTGCTCGTTAATATCAACAATAGGATTGTTAATATGGAGGCGAGCTGAAGGGCGAGGATGAAGGGTTTCGTGTTTTTAATGATGGCGCAGGAATCCGACCCAGAGGAGCAGGAGTAGTCCTGCAAACACTGGTGCTGGAATGAATGCGCAAGCGAGGAGGGTTTGGAGGATGGTCACTACGACCAGTCCGAGAGGATCGTTTAGTAGGAAACGCAGCACGCAGAGTGCCATGACGATTAGGATGTGAATGGGAAATATGTTGGGCAACGGTAAGTCGTTGGGCAACGTTGGACGAGCTTCGGCTAAATGTTAGCCACTAACTCTATCGACTTAGATCGTGCTAGGATCGCTACTCGCACTTCGGTAGACGACGCTCTAGCAAGTCAAAGGCGATGAAAGTCGATGGGACAGATAGTCATGAAGAACGGAGTTCGATGTTAGGTAGATTAAACCTTAGCCGAAGCTGGGGTTCAGACCAGCTGAGGCTCTACTTAAATACACGTTGGTACGCTAAAAATAGTACTGTGGGAGTCAGTCCGTGATGATCGCCTGCGCGTAATCCGGCTGAGTAAGGAAGGGAAAAGAAAAGAAAAGAAAAAGAAAAAGAAAAAGAATAAACCGTAACACACTGCCAGCAGCAGCGGTTCGCTTGCTCATTTCTGGAGTTGCGCACGAGTTGCGCTTAGTGAGGTTCACTGCCGATACAGTGGTTGTATCGACGGAGGAAATCCCTCGTACTCCATGTCATCCATTAGGGTTGGAAGTGCTTGTGTTGTTCGGGGGATCCTCTTTTTGTGTTTTAACATGTTGCTTCCTTCCGGATTGGTTGCGTTAGTATACGAGAGGCATCCCAATGTATATGACCTTGCTTCCGCATCCCACTGGATGTGCCACTGTCAGCTTTTTAAGAAGCGTGACTTGGTAGAAGAGGGTTGGGCCTATAGAACCATGATCGGATCTATTGGGCCATCAAACGGATCATCAGACAAGGGTGATGATGACATGGTGTGATCGGTGGAATTAAGTGGGTCATGGATGATGCAAATAATCTTGTTTAGATCCACACCGCTATTCCAGATCTGTCCAATTGAGGTCGTCCGTAATGATGTTTTGTGGATTCGTTTGGTGTGTTTTGCCATGAAGGTTTAGTGGGGGAGTCATCTCTTTTTGACATTATGGCAGATGACGTTGAGATGTTGCTCCTATGCTTCACTGACTCCTTTTCTTGGGCGAGTCAACCAAAGTTCCTTTGTAGTGGTGTACTGCCTCTTCTCCGTTCATGGAAGTTCCAACTCGCATGGATGGGTCTCTGTTGAGCCAATCGAATTGGTTATGGCCCTTGACTATCAACCTTTCAAATAGTTGATCAGTCCTGCAGTCTGGAAATCCAGTGTCCCCTTCGGTGGAGGTTGGTCTCTCCGCCTTTGGTAGGTTTAGATTTCCCCTGTCGGACTCTTTATCAGGTCAGATCCTAGCCTATGGCTGGTTCCTAGAGATTTTTGGTCTTTTTGACCGAGGAACCATCCCTTTCCTCTGATTTTTGTACAGGTTCTCTCTGGCTTCGTCACTGCTGATGCACAGCATGTCGTTAGTGATATAGAGCCGTAGCTCTTCGGGTTTGTCACTTTGGATGCACAACATATCCATTGCGGCACAGTGGTGTGAGGGGTAGTCATAGAGTTCAACTAGCATTCCCTCCAGTAGAGTTCGTGCGGTTCAAATGTTAGATCCTTGATGATATTTGTTTTTAAAGGTTTTCTTCTTCCCCGTCTTTCTTGGAATAAAAGGGATTTATTGTCCATACAAGTACCTACAAACATAATTCTGAGTAACAATTTATTGAGTAGGGTTTTACCTGAAAGAGAATTGAGTCCTGTTGTACAAGGGCAAATTGCCTGGTCCGTCATCAACTCCTTTCTTTGTTTCTGCTGAAAGCGCGCTAGTCCTGGTCGACCTAGGCAGTCTGCCTAGTCCTTTGTCGATGCCTTCCCCCCAGCGCTCGTCATTGAGGGGTCCTTGCTCTGCTTTTTCAAGCAGAGCGCCACTTGGACCTGTCAGACAGGCATTTGTTGCTCTGTCTAGTATGTCCAGGGAATCCACAGCAAAGGCATCATCCTTCTGTGAATTCCCGTTTGTAGTCTTCTTTTGATACAGCTTTTGGGCATCGATGAAATGGTATTGTTGTTGGCTCTTGCCATTTTGTCTTGTACCATTTTGATTTGTCAGGGGGGCATTTGTTGTCCCAATAGATATGCCCTTTGTTTCCGCATCGGAAACACCTTCGCTCTTTCCTGAGATGATCCATGTCCATTTCTTCGTCTGTTCCTTCAGGGCATGGCATGCTTCTGTCGGAGGAAAAAGATGGGACTCTTGTTCCTAGTTCGGGGTCTAGGGACATGGTCCAAAACACCTCAGATGGTAGGTGTGGTTTGGTCCAGTCTCCCCCAGTGATATGCCTGGTATCAGGCTACCCATAGATTTTGCGATTTTACATCAGTTTATGCAATCTACAAGCGGTACAGAGAGCTACAGTGGAGGCTTCGCGCTGGTAGCTAAATACCACATAAAGAATGAAAGCATGGCAGTACAGAACAGACTTAGAAACAATGTCTCGAAGAGTCAATTCTACCAGCCATCAACATGCCAAGCTAAGCCCCACCTAAACAAGACTATTACAGTCAAATCTTGGGGACTCGTCTGTATGGAGTATAAAAACCAAGAAGTTAAAGAATGGAATGAACTAGATGCCTCGTCGCCTCGACGAGTAGAAAGAACCTGTCAAGAAAAATTGCTAAGTCGAGAAACAGATCAGCTTTCGAGATCAACTCAGGCTAGGAAAGGAATAACCTTGGAAGAATGAATAGCCACATTGGGTACCGAGATGACTGACCTTGACCACGCAACTTAAATGACACCAGTGTGCCATTCTAAGTCTAAGCCATGCGCTGCACTCAGATTATTTTATTATATGCTGCCTCTGCCTCAGTATGTGCTGCTCTATGCTGGGTATGCATTATAATATTACTTAGTGGGTTGACACATGTTTGAACTCATAGAATTCACAAAATTACCCATATGCATGCACTGCATGCATGTCACTGGTTTCCTTTCAGTGCCTCTCATCACCTCTTCTGGTCCTCCTCTTCATGTCTGTGTAGTTTGTATTGCATGGTTCCACCATTATTGTTCTTCCATACCTGGCAGAGATGGCTGTATGTGATACCAAAGTTGTAGTTTTCTGTGATGCAGTCTTCGAGAATGGAGACAGATGGTGTATCCAGCATATGTGACATTTGAAGGATGGTGCTGAGTAGATCTAGGATACCTTGAATGCTGAGAGAAGCACAAGGTATGTTTGCTGGTGCAGAGGATGTCACTTCCCACTGTGTGCCTTCATCATCTTTGCCCCTGTATTTCCTTCACCAAAGAACTTTAATGAATGACTTTGCTTTGACTTTGCACTTTCTGGAGGTGTATTTCCTTTGCCAAGGAACTTCAATCGATGACTCCGCTTTGCCAGTCTCAGTGAAGGCAGAGATCTCCTCTACACCCTAGGAAGATGCTCATTCACTGGTATGTCATCCATTTATTTTCACAGGACTTACTTTCTCTATTTTAGATCATACAAGTGATTCATAGATTCCATAATCGGGGAACTTGTCACCTTTATCGAGACTAGGACTAGCAAGCTGGTCATCTATGACTGGAGTCTGGAATTCCAAAATAGGGGTGTCAGACAGCAATTTGGGATGACAGCAGGGTGATGGGTTCAGCATCACATCCAAAACTTGATTGACATCCTCTAAGTTAGAGGAAGAATCCTGGTGCACCATTGCTGAATGTGACTCTGACAACACAGATGTATTGGCATTTGGATAGCTGTCAGGTGTTTCATGAAGAGGTAAATCCTTCAGTTTTCATGCAGGTGAAAGGGCCATGCATAAGTGTCTCCATATTGACTTGACATGGCTCAAAAGCTTTTGTTCTATCATTTTCAATACTGTAATGAGTACTTGAAGCAAAAGTAGATTGATGGTATGCATCATTTCCCATGTCAGAGCTCAGATGATTATGTGTGAAATGGGGTACAAGACAAAGGTGTATTAGCATGAGGCAGGTCTCCCAGGACATATTTACAGCTTGGTAGAACTGGCATGGTCTGGGTGGAAAGAACATAGTGATCTCCACTGATGAGCCTAAACTTCCATGGCAATGGCAGAAACCAAAACTCTAGAGGAGTTCACAGCAAATGGCATGTAGCAGCAATAAAGGCTTTGTTGTTGTGCGAGTGTTTCAGTGCACCTCCATGTGTTGAATTCCTCAAGAATGCAAGTATACACTGCAACTTTTCAGTCAGCAAAGTAATACCCTTAATGATCAAGTACTAGAAAGTGTTGGCTGTAAGCTGGGAAGGGTCTTGATATACAAGAAGGAACAGAATCCAGTATAACTGGGAATACCAGCAAGCCATGAATGAAGTGGCGGCAATTAACTAGTAAATGCCATGTGTGATGTTGGCAGTGACACGTGTGCAATGTGTGCATATGTGTAATTTTGTGAATTCTATGAGTTCAAACATGTGTCAACCCACTAAGTAATATTATAATGCATACCCAGCATAGAGCAGCACATACTGAGGCAGAGGCAGCATATAATAAAATAATCTGAGTGCAGCACATGGCTTAGACTTAGAATGGCACACTGGTGTCATTTAAGTGTGAAGTCGCAGTGTCTAACTCACACCTCATGCATCCCTCAGCAGTGCTTCACTCAAATAAAATACACTGAGAAGATAATATATTAACAGAGCTTCACACAACATTGATCTATGATGCATGAACCCTACCAATCCAGCAATCACCAAGAGATGTCATTCAAAACCAAGGACCACCCAGTCTGAGCCTCCTGAGAGGGCTTTGGCCGACATGAGAGGAACCCTGTACTCAGCATGAAATATTGACCTAAGAAAAGGTGGTGTGGCAATCAAATAAAAATACCAGCTCACTAGTGATGTGCGTGGTGATGAACCTAGAGACTCCTGTGGGCAGAAACACAAAACCTAGGTGTGGTATGTGCTAACAGACATGGAATCTGAAGGATGGTTCTAGCGAGTCTAGTCAGGGCACCTCTGTGCAGTGACTAAAGCCTCCTAAGTTCAGAAAGATAAAGAAATTTCTCTACTAGTAGCGTAGAGGATGGTAGTGAACTATAAAATTCACAGGAAGGGAAGTAATTGGGAAAGGGATCCTAGAAGAGGCCCTAAAACAAATCAGTAAATGTACAAGGACTATACCTTGTTTCTGTTGCAACTCTAGCTGCAAGTGCAATGAATAAGAGCTCTAAAGAGACTGTCCAAGTTCTAGCTGCAAACTCAGAGGCTGTAGTGAATTATTAAACTTGTGTGGTAAGGTTGAATTGAAGTGATGAGGATCGGTCTGATACTCGACGAGACTTTCTCTGGCTGTGAGAAAGAGAAGGTGTTGATGGGAGGGATGAAAACACTGTCTCCTAGCTGCAGAAGCAAGTGAATTTGTTTGCAAAGCAAAGCAATAAAAGAGTTTCCTAATGGCAGGACTCCTAATTACTTTGCATAGAAGAGAGGGATGGGTTGTAAGCACAAGTAACCATTAAAGGTTCACCGTTGCTTAGAGAAATAAAGGTTTGAGACGAAGTTCTAGCAGCAAAAATGTCTTTATTGCGCTACTTCAAGGGTGTATGTTGTATGGTGTAGGTGTTAGAGATCAAAGGTAAGCGTAGAGAATAATCTGGGGTCTCCCTTATTCGCTTTATACATTGTGTCCTAAATTAATTAGCTAGCTAATTTTTATACTAGTTTGCGAATTACAGGTTTGTAAGCTACATTGTTCCTTGCTGTGTTGATTTATAACACAAGTGAACTAATTACTGAGTAATAATGCACTATTAACCCTTCCTTACCAATGCTGAGTCATGCACAGTCAAATCTGCATGCTACAAAGACTGTGCATTACTGTGCATTGCACTGCAAGTAAGCAAGCTTTATAACCAGTTTACCAAGCAATCCAAGGGGTTTGCTTAGCAAATTAAACAGGTTTAGTAACTTCTAAACCACTGCTGACTGTTGCAAATTAAATAATTCTCTAACTCATCATCAAGACTGGGTTATTTCGGGGTGGAGTGGCTATGTGCCAGGATCAATGATGGGATTTGATCAATCAGGATCTGCAATCAAAGTGCCTGAAGATCAATGGCTGTGCTCTGATGTAGAAAAGCCTGATAAATCCGCGAATTCTGAGCGCACAGAGCCTAGAGGCTCATCAGTGGCAGAGGAATTAAAAACAAGGAGCCAATTAGGAGAAATATTCTGCATGATGTAGCAACTCTAGACCTTGCCAAGTGGAATGAGCAGCATGTTACCAAGCACTAACTCAGAGGATTGACTCAGAATATTAATTAGTGACCATGTGATTGACATGTCATGGAGAGGAAATGACTCTGGGGTGGAGTGTATCTATTTTTGATATTTCTATTTATATAATTAGCTGTAAATAAAAGCGCAGTAATTAGAAGTAGGTAGCAAGCTTTCAGACCCCCACAGTTGTGACACAAAGCAGAGAGCCTAGTGTGCAACAAAAGGATTTGTGTTTGTCGCTTTGAGTGAGAGAATATTATTGGATCTAGAATTAATTTGAAATGCTTGAGAGATCACAAGGCATGCCTTGCTCACACATGACCATGTAACTTGATTCTGAACAGTAATTAATTGTGCTCAACTCAGAGAAATATTGTATTGTGATAACTTGAATGTGCATTTGTGTTTGCAGAACGTGTTTGTGAATTCTGAGTTGTTGCAAGTGGCAGAGGTTTGAACCCTTTGGCTTGTCAATACTCTTTGAGGGTTTTTGGTTTATTCCCAAGTGGCATAGGTTCAAACCCTGTGGCTTGTGGACATGTTTCTGTGTTTCTGTGTCTCTGGATCGCATAGGTTTGAACCCTGTGGATCTACGAAAGGTTTCTGAAGTGTTTTCTGCTTAGAGTGCAAAGCTTTAAGTCATGTGTAGTTTGTTTGATGGGTTGTGGCCACCTGTGTGTCACACACAATGTCAATTGAGGGTTGTATATTCTTGTGGGACATTTGTGGGCTTGGGAAATATTAATTTTGCCTCGAGGCCAAGCAATACATATCACTCACCTCCTGTCCTAAAAGCATTTGGACTTAGAGAATTCTTTTGAGCTAGCGCACTATTATGTCTTGAAGAGCGCAAGACATCTTTTAATTCTACTGTTATTGTGTGCTTGCATTGCACATCTCCCCCTGAACTACTGAGATTCTGTGTGTGTGTCAGTGTGAGAGTGGGTGTGTTTAGTGTGTCTATGCTATCGCATTTCAAGCTTGGCATGCACAGAGCCTCTTCAACAGCTATTTCAGGCAAAATATTCACCGAATTGAGTTGAAAGATACCCAAATTCAGCATAATGACATCATAAATGTCACATGAAGGTAGGTAGGTCCATCGTCGGTGCACAAAATTATTTAATCAACCCACTGTCTTTTAATTCATTATTAGGACCCTCTTGATCAATGATATTAATGCGATTCCAAATAATGAAAAAGCACACCTTGAAAACCTCTGTCTAGCCGACACTGAACCACATCAATGTTGTCGCAGATGAGCAGGGATAGAACTCTAATCGATGAGATCAATCAGTGGCTTAATCTGACGAAAGGGAAAGCAGGATCATGAATAACTGATTGTCCTCGATTATCTCCTAGTGTGCTGATTTCTGGGGCTAGTTGGTAGGCGCATACACGGTCTTAACACAAGGATGAGCTATGACGAGATGTTAGCATGATTCTTGAATAGCAGGAGAGAAGGAACGGGTATGTACCGAATGCTATACAAGCACCATCACCATTTTCCCACCATCCTGAATGTCAACCTCGACTTGTTCTCAGCAGCCCTGCATTGAGTTGCTCCCCCTCCTCGGACTGGGATTAAAGAACAAATCATTGTCATCCTCACTAAGGACAAAATCTTGCTCCACCAGCTCCGTCCTCATAAACCTCTGCTCCTTCAATGGAACTTGAGGTACCGGCAAAGGGGGAACACCCAGGTTAACCCTCTTCATGAACAGGTCATCTGTAATGAGACATGGAGACAATCTCGAGTGGGGTAGAGTCAGTAGCGAAGGAGGCGGACGGCGCCACTCTACTCCATTAGGAAACAAGACACGTTGGAGGGTAGGACACATGGTGGCTAGACAAGCTGCATGTGCACATTCACTCACTACCATTGAGTGGCTGTAGTGACTGATAGTGGATGATGTCGAGCATGTCCTAGCTCATTTAGGGAGAGGGAACCTCTTGTCCAATTCCTTCTTCGCCAGTTTCACTTGTGCAATCCCAGGTTTACACATAACAAGTACCCGGAGGGATTTGAAGTGGGGAACGACACTACCCCAGCATACTTCGCCACCCTTGCCTTTGATCTCAAGTTCTTTGACATGGGGATCTCTATGTGCTTAGAAAAACTCAAGCCAAATTCAGCTAAGAAAACTGACCAGGGTGTGCAGAGCAAACGTCCCCAGCCACTGGTACCTCAAATGTGAGAAACCCATTGAAACAAAATATTACAAAGCCAAGTATGATCAAGGCACAAAGATGAGATGCGAAAGAATGGGATGAGGGGGAAAAAATGAAGGAGATCAAATGATGGAGGGAAACTGCGCATATAGCTGATCTATTCCGAGGACTGAAACGACTGCGCTTTGCATAATCACCACATGGTCCTCGAGTTTGTTGTCATGTTTGGGGGTAACCAAGGAGGCAATAGCAGCACCTTGGTTGATCCCTCCAAATCACTGGTAATGGCCACGAGGCCTGGTGAAAGATGAAGCTCTGTGTCTGCATATGCATGTCTCAGAACCATCAGTTACAAGTTTCAAGTACTATGGGAATATGTTTTTCAGCTTCACCTTTGAGTCTTCAAGCCCAGGATAATGATAGGCACTCTTCTCCTCCACACCACCACAATGGCATACTTACTAGTGATTTGATATAAGGTCTCTCTGGTCCTTCGAAACTCTTGACCGCATCATTATACTTTGTTCTAGTCTATTTGATGATACTGAAACCGATCCGCTCGTTACTTCAATTATCTTGCTGTGAACTGTGTGATGCTGTTTTGAACACAGCTATAAGAGATTACAACTTCAACTAACTTCTGGAATGTGGTTCTCTCCCTTCGACTTCATATTGTAGAATGGCATCGCAAACTCCCTCCTTGAGAATGATGCTTGGATCAGTCTACATCGGTGCTACGATTGCCATGATGTGAGAAATCTTCCTTCGCCTTTGCATTTCACTCTTATTCGTCTCCAACAGTTTATTTGAAATAACCAACATACAAGCGGTGATTTATTACAAGAGGTACCCAGACGATTTGTGGATATACCGATACTCCATGAGTCAATGTACAGCACTGGATTGAGTTGCTCATATTCATTTAACAGGTTGTGATTCTTTGGTTAGTCCTGCTGATCCTTTTACAAACACTCTAAGAACAGAAAGCATCATTTAGGACTTTCGATGCTCTTCACGTCACCTTAGGCATGCACACCTTGTATCATTACTTCGTTGACTTGTTTGGTGAGTACACTGAGCTCTATAATATTGTCTGGTATGTTATTATATGATGCTATCCATAGCTCGTACTGATTGACTTCATGGCCAGGAGTTTCAAGGTACTTACATCTGAGGCTCTGCTACTATAAAGAGGTTTGAATAAAGTCTTGTATCACCAGCTTCAAATACTGTTCAATGTATGCCCTCTGCATCTCTTCTACTCCTCATGGCGGTTAAGCATTGTTCCATCATAGTGGGTCATCATTTTGGGTGTTCAAGCGTATGTTCCGAAGTTACCCATTGTATGCAACTGACCTGGTACTAACGACTCTGACATTCAGGGTATATGCTCTTCGCATTTGGAAATGTCAGTGTTTTCACTCTCTGGACAGTAAGCAGCAAATGGACTCATCTCACTTTCAGTCGGCCGTCATTTCCATTGAATACTCCCCTGGTTTGTGGTGCATTGTCTTCACTTCCAAGATGAAATCCATCCCTAATAATTGGTACTCAGGTTCTCAGTATCACCATAGCTTGGGGTGAGTTGTGTGATTGGTAGTTCGTCAAGACCCTCTCATTCATGCTTGTCCATCAAGGCACAGGAATCTGTAGGTCTGCTTCCCTCTTCTGTATTTCTCACATTGATCCACACGGCAAAGTTTCAGTCTACGATGTGTAAGCCTAGGGTCATATTCTCAGATTTCATGACTTACTCTCGGGCAGATATTCAATATCTAGTTTCTTATTGATACCAGGCATAAAGGTGCACTATTATCCCATCAAATGTGGATCTCGCTAAACCTATCCTAGGGATTGATATGCTCCGTATTCATCATGGCTGCAGTTTCCGATTTCATCATTGTGTTTTCAATGTGCTACTACTTGCACAAAGGCCGGGAAGTCTCTGCCATCTCCAGGTGCAGTATTTTCACTGATTCTCGAATGTCACTAAGTATGAGATCCCTAGCACATCTGCAATTATACTTGGTCTGATGCGACTTGTTGTGATATCCGGATTGGTGACTAGGTAGGCCTTTTTTTGCCATGATTTGGCTGAAGAGAGGATATCATTGCTTGATAGTGCATGCTTGTTGCTTATGCTTATAACAGTATGTCAGCCTTCAATGTTATGATAATTACCTATCTCACATGAACTATAGTATCTCGCATGGCCAAACTCTCTTATTTTCCTCGGTATTGATTTCATCCTACCAAAATGTCGGGGTTTCCTTTGGTATCTCCCCCATTTTTGGCTGAGCTAACTATTATTTCTTACAGTATATATCAACTCGCTACTTGCCATGTAAATCGCCTGCTTATCACAGTGCCATCAGGAGCTAAGAATGATTAGGTTAAATTCCAGAAGGGACCATCATGCGTCCTCGAACAGCCGGAATTCCACCATGAAAGTCATGAGATTTGTGCCCCATGACTCTGGTGCTGATACCGAAGAAGTGGTATGCTCCTACTTTCAATTGGTTCTGAAATATTTGTTCACATTCTTCCGTCAGAACATTAGTATCCCAATGCAGAGCTTTCAGTCCTTGGACCATGACAAGGAACGTTCTGATGTTCATGTATGAATAGCAGTGCAGGACCAAAAACTCTGCACATTTAACGTGACTTTTGGATTCATAAAAGAGGGATACTTTTGTGGCTGTGGCAGGGGTCATGCAGGAATTCAAGGAAATGTACAGCATATATTTATGAATGCTCATTCCGGCATGTGCATGTTCGCTTACCACCATCGAGTGGGCCTGAGTGACTAATTGTAAACAGCATCTAGCATGTCCTAGCTTGTTTCAGGGCAGACAGGACCTGTCGTCGAGTTCCCATTTCTCCTTTGTCATCCTATTCCACACTTACCCAGCATTAAATGAGACTTGAAGTAAAGAATGACGCCATACCAACACTCTTCGACATGGGATGATGGTGAAACAAAGTATATTTTCTTCTGTACGAGTTCCCGCAACTTGAATATGAGCCCGGGGCAATGAACGGATAGAGGGAGAGGCTCTATGGTGGTTGTAGGATGAAATACGGCACAGAACGGTGAGGATACATTTGTAGACGCATCAATTACATGTTGAGAGGGTGCGAAGATGATGATAAGATGTGGCACGTTGTTCAAAGTGGTGAGATCTGGAAGCACAGAGGCAGCCATGTCTATAAATAACTTGTTAACTCCACTTTTGAGTCAGAGGGAGAGATGGAAGCATGAGCAAGAGAGAGACCCCTGCTTGGCTTGGAGGGAAGTCTGGCATGCATGCGGTATGTGCATTCCTTTGCTGGGTGATAAGTAACTGGTTGTCAATGCACATGCTCTAATTGCCACCATAGTTGTGGGTAAATCATTCAATCAGAATTTTCAAATCACGGCTGTCTATCAAGGAACTGGAATCAGTGCATGCGGTACACAAAGCTTTTCCCAGGATTTACGGGTATCACCTGATGGAAGATGGTCTATCATGTCCATCTATCAAAGACGTTTGGTATGACCTCCAGCCATGGGAATATTAGACAGCTTATAGATGTACCTTTCAAGATGAGCTGGGAACGTGAAAATCTTAATACGTCAAATAGGATGACACTTGGATGGCCTCATTCTCGTAGAACCCGCATCTCTAGGTGAGAGGACAAAGAGAGGGAGAACCACGGATTCATACTGATAGTGGCAGTAAGGCTAACTATGCACATTAATCCTACTCTAAGAGTCGCAGGCCTTATATCCCTTACAGTTAACTAATAGACTGTAGAATTAGTTCATCTGTAATGTATTAATGACTGTACATGCAGTTGACACCTAGTAATTAATTAATCCCACTGCAGTGACTAGAATTTGAGGGCCACCACATATGTGTGGCAGATCCAAGTCCTATAGTACTCCGTTTTTGTGTCTATCCAAGCTCACAAACTTCTATTGGTGAAAGAAATCAGGACAAATTTCCAAAGCCCAATTATGGTCTACGGCAAAAAGCTAGTGTTCTCTCTCTTCGACCTGCCAAGTCAGTCCCATCATTCTGTTCATCCAGGATGACGAGGCTGATCTGGATGCACAAGAACGTCACGGCGAGCAAATGGTATAGAAATAGTGGCATTTCCTGCATGGACATTGAAGTTGACACAATCCTGATAACAGTAGCTAACATGGAAGTGGGAACAACCCATTCATTCAACTTCCCTTCTCCATCGACATGTACTTTCTCACCAGATAGCCATGAAATAGCCTGATCAATGGCTCTGTATATGTTGGACCAGAGGGTCAGAGACATGGTCTTCTTGTCTCCAATGGTGTTTCCTATGGCCGCAGTGGCGAGTTAGCTGGAAAAATTGTGAAACGTACTGAGAGCGGGAGATACAGCAGCTGTGTGATCCATGTAGATGTTAGGGGAGGTTCCATGGCCATCATGCTTCATTGACCCTTGATAGTGATTATAAGCTTCACGCTCATGTTGACCTTGAGCAGCCCGAGAGCCACATTTAGCCTAATCAACATACATGTACATGACAAGAAGCAGAACAATTGATTAAACCATAGTCGAAGGATGTGAATCAGACTGGATGGACACCCATTGGCCCAAGACCTGGCGATAGACTGTCAGGAAAGTACTTCTGAGCTGCAGATTGTTCTAGGTTAAGCGATGAACTTCTTAGTCAATAACATGAGGAGGAAGTGTCGGTCTTAGTACCCGCGGGTTGGCACCAACGAATTGGGCTGTGACACTATCCCCAACCACGTATGAAGCCTTAACGTCAGTTAGGATATCACCAAAATGCTTCCCAATCGGCGCGGCATTCTGGCCTATCCCATTTCTCCGGTGCAGATTGACACTGCACAGAAGTTCCATCAATGCTAGAGGAAGAGCGACTGTTCCGACCCCAGGAAATACTGTAACCAGGAATATATAGGACCACGGGGAGCACAGTTTGGGCCTTTGATCCTCACCTTGTTTACATGCATTTAGATGCAATTAGGGCATTGCAGTGCATGTCACTGTTTGAGAGGAAGACAATAACATTGACTAAAAATTCATATTGAATTGGCTGCGGTGAGGTCATCAGTAGTCATGGTGATGGCCAACGACCAAGCTAGCATCATTGGTTCTGCGATTGTTGGAAATCGGAGACCCGATCTCCATCCCGGCTTCCCACTCATACCCCTCTACTCCAACCTCATTCCAGCCTTCTCCTCCCCACACTACAGCCCTTCCATCTCCCAGCTATATTGTCACTTCACTCTGAAAGTCCCCACCCCTCCTATTGCTGTTCTCCTTGGTCTGCGCGTCATTGTTGGGTTGGTGCTCCATGCGCCCTCTCGCTACGAGATGGAGGCCGATATCAAATCCCGGAGTAAATCCAGGGTTGTCCACATGCTCCGAAGCTGTCTTCAATAGCAATTCACCCCAATAGTGATGTTGGGGATGCCAGGTCTGTCGGGGGTGATAGTGGCAGCAGATAGTACAAGAAAGAGGACGAAAACCAATAACGGGCCGGCTGAGTACCACGAATCTGAAAAAGGAAAGGAATTCACAGGACAATGATGAAGGTTGAAGAAAAGTTCCCACGACCTGGCCAGGGAGAATCCGACGGCAAACGCCGTGTTGGACGATCAAAAATTTCTTTTCAGGTTGGCATAATGACCGATATCTATATATACATATAGGACTCGGAACTGGCAGCCGCCGCCAGGCTCAGCACTGGGGGGGCGCTTGCTGGTACAGGTTCTACGCCCCTCCGCCCATTGCACCTACCAAAATAGATCCCTGATAAATGTCTTCCATTGCAATCGTGCCCGATATGTTATTCTAGGTCCTAGCGTGATAAATATGGCTCTTGTTCCTTGATCACATATTTTTAGATCCTTCGTGACGCTCTCTGTTCGATTTCGGCTTGTCACATCGTACCGTTGATGTGAGTCCTATTTTCGGTCTGATCATATTTCACATCTGTCAAATCATTCCCTCCTCCGGTTTTATATGTCAGGATATGTTTTCCTGGTATTCCGTGTAATTTTTCAGCTCGGATTCAGGCATGAATTTTAGGAATCGTATATTTGGCCTAGCCAGTAGACCTGTGATGTCGACGCTTGCTCATTGTAGGGGACCGTCTCCCTAGCCAGCGAATGTTTTTTTTTGGCATGCGAGCTTATGTAATGTTGCCCAGGACACTGCCACGGCCCACTGCATCCACATCCACCACCCATACGGTCTCGCGAGCACCGGGCACAGCCTAATATCCTGTACTACAGCCAACACCATGGACGATAACCCATTTGCTCGCTGAAAGGCCTTTCACAGATGTAAAAAGGTATGTGATTATTAGTGTGCTGCTTACTCTTCATTTTAGATACCTTTTATGCATCCGGTGGCCCCAAAAGCCCCGGATAGCGACCATGCCGCCCCTCCCACCCCACGCGTAAGTCTTCTCACAAGGCCGCACATTATGCAGCCCCAAACGACTGACGACACACTCTCCATCATCAACAGCGACGACTATGCCCACCGACACGCACCATGGCAGAAAAAGCCAGCCTCGATTCCATCCCGATCATGCAACGACCCCAGCGTCCACATCGGTGCCACTCGCCGTGGTACACGGGATTTGCACGTGAAAACGACCACCAGCAAGCAGGAGTATTCACTATCGGCCCCCATCTGCAGCTGTGGGAACGTTTCAATGCAAAATCAGCGGAGCAGCGACGACGACAGACTGGATGAGGACAGCCACGAGAGGGACTAGGGGGGATCCACGATGGTGCAGAGCTATGCTGGAGTGTAGGAATAGGATGGGGAGGGAGGTCGACGATGCAGAGGTGCGGAAAAGGGCAGGAAAGTATCGGGCGGGACCGCGGCACGATGTTCGGGATGCGGACGACCGACAACGACAACCACTGCTGCGCACATTGGGGCATCGATGGACGAATGTACAGCGTCTCGGATGTGCCCATAATCATGGCTGTAGGACCGCCCTAGCACCCGCTACTGCCCACCCCCTCCTAGTCCAACATGGGCCCCTACCATGCCATGCAGCCCGCATATAGTCCCCAAGCTCATGCATCTCCCATTTTTTGAGTGGGGGAACACAACTATGTTGTCTATATCTACCCTCACCACCGTCCTCGCCGCCCGTTTGCTCCGCATCACGATGCCCGTCTCTTTCGCCTCGTATCACCCCTTACAGCCCCGCCGCTTTCATGATGACCTCACAACCCCCGTTTTCAACGACTGGGAATGCAGTAGCATAGTCTATTTTGCTGGATTGGCCCCTCATCACTGTCAAACTGCCGTCGACCTCGCCTTGCCGCCTTTTTGGCGCTCCACCTGCGGGCTATCACCCCCGATTCTCAAGCAGCTTCATCTTTCAACAGCGAGGGTATCGACACTATCGACGACACCGTGCACGACCCCGCCCCCAGCGCCTACACCCCGCATGCACAGCACGACGACGGGCATTTTTTTTCAGCCCAATAATTGGATATATTGTATTTATTACCACTTACAACAACGGCTCTGCGGCCTAGGTCGTACCACTGCATGCTGTATATCGTCATCGACAGTGTTTTAGTTCGAACCCCTGTGGTGTACGATTTCTTTTCCAATCCAGCGTATTTACGGGCTGAAGAAAAGGTAACCCTGTTGATAGAGCTACGGTGCATGTAGATCTTGTACAGCAGATCCGATTACATTGGTTTTGTGGCAGGCCCCCCCCCAAAAAAACATGTCAGAAATGATAGAAAATGACATTGAAGAAATGTCGGAGCGGTGGAAAAATATCATTAAAGAAAACATATGGAGGGGCTGACACCGAAAAAGGGACGACATATCAAGGACAACATGTGAACCTGATCATCTTCGGAGGAGGGAGGACAACAGGTGACAGCGACATCAAAGGTGGACGGAAATAACTTCCGTACATCAAAGACTGTCAAAAATCACTGAGCTCGTATGTCCGCATTGATAAAAAATCAAAACAAGCTCAGCACATCAAAAAATCAGCGGAGAATTTGGGCCCAATTCGACAGCAAGGCGCTTGAAGGCGGGAGCGCACAGGCCCATGGCATCAAGCACATCAAACATGTCGAGATGCAACTATGCCCGTGATGACAACATGTGGAGCGTTGTTTGGCCCTATACCTGGCTTGGATTCCTCTGCTAAAAATCCTTTGCAATGGCAAGGAGTAATATATTGCGCCTATCCCCAAGTACAAGGGATTAATACGTCTTACCGCTACGCTGAATAATCTATTACTAGGCTTTTAATGGGTGGTTCTTGATGTCATAAGTAGTATGAATATTTACCTCATTTTCTCCAATGCTTTGGATCCGAATCTCCACCTTTGATGTTCCATTCGCTCAGTCGACCACCAACGACCTAACCCAAGCCTCTTTCTCTTTCCCCAGCCGCAGATCAAAGCGTACCCCAAAACTTCCAGGACGCATTCCCGGTTCATCAGCAAACGCCATCGAGTCAATCTTCTCAGTCGCAACAATATCAAAAGCCCATAAAAGAAGTGCCGTATTAATGAACAGCGACCTTTTCGCCATCAATAAAATAAACACCCGGAAGAAAATAGAAATAAAAGACATTCACCTATTCGCAACGCGTGATCCCGGACAAACTCTGCAGACATCCACATCAGCAATTCGGCAAGCTTTAGACGCACAAGAAATCTTGCCTCCGACCAAATCCAAAAACGAATTGCCTGATGTCGCCCCTCAATTTACCGTCAAGGATCCACCTTTGAGGATCAAACACTTCGGGGTTCGAAAAGATATCAGAAGTACGGAATATGGACCTATGATCATTTTGAACAAGGGGTGTTCAAAGTTACAGGAATACAGACATACCAAGGCGATGCGATAATAGTAGCTCCTTTGGGAATCACATAGCCTTGCTATTTTTGAAGCATGCTTGTGAGACGAAGCCATAGAACTGAAAGAGCACTAACCCAGATGAAATCCTGAGAAGCGGCATGCGCAATTCCTAATATATGTGCAGCTCGTCATCGGCAGATAAGCCACGGAAGACCAACCACTTGGGAACAACGGTCGCCTTTTCGAAGCATATATAAGCGGCCGCATGTCACCTTCGAGAAAAGCATACTCACCACCTAAAACACTCAAAAACAAACGCCATAACTTGCGGGAGGCGCTCCCTATCCTCAAACGTCGGACCTACCCATTCCGTATTCAGTAAGAATATACCTGAAGAGACTGAATTACTAACATCGATTGCGAGGAACAACTTCATCGATTTCTCTCTGTACAGCTTTCGCAGCATGAGGAAAACAAGCAGCTGCCATGATAACGAATATTATTGCAGACTCGGTCTAGAGTTTTCAGCAGTCACCAGAAAACGGGCAAAAGGAAAACGAACCGTATTCGATCCTGCCGCAAACATCCCACCAGCATGATACGCAGCTTGGTCAAACGACATCTTCTTATTATGCAAGAGATCCTTCCCAAAACAAGCGGGTACTTCTTCTCCAGCATCCTGGACAAGCACATAAGTATCTTCCAATAAAAAACAGTGTTCAATGCACCGACCATCCTTGTCTGAACATACCCTAAACACCGACGACACAAAGCAAGCGAATCTTGATGCCACCTCTTAAGTTCGGAAAGATACCCTGGAACCCATCGAAGAACGGGAAACGTATCCACGAGGTAGGCTCCCGGGCTATTTGTCATTCGAAGCCGGTTTGCCTCCAGAATCATTTGTTGAAGATCAGGATCATCGTATGTCGTCGGTGTCATTTTCCCGTAGGTCAGGGCAAGAATCACAGATGCTGCATATCTGGTTAATTGGATGAGCTCGATGTATACCCAGGAACGAAAGAAGTCCGTACATCTTTGTGTACTCTGTAAACCTCTTCGGATCGTCAAGGATATTAACAATCAGTTTCTTCGCGTGACGGAGTTGTATAGGTTCATATGCCGCTGCCTTATTGGTCTTTAAGTGTGCATGGAAAGCCCTACAAACGTTACATTAAACTCATTTTTGTGTTCGCCATGGTAGATGGCCAACCTATTCAAAGCTCTCCATCTCTGTGTATCATTCAGCAGGATAGACCTCAGACCTCCAGAGAACGTCTCAGAGGCGGCAATAGCCCTTGGTCTGTCCGATGTCTGGATACTGCCCTTCTCCATTATTTCCATAGCCGCCTACAATTCGAATATCAGTCTCATAGTTTTTCAGCATAAAATACGAACATACATCGTATCTGCCAACGACGATATATACCTTTCCAAACCGAGTCAGAGAGAAAACAGGCCCGTACACCCTCGTCCATTCATCGTACTTCAAGAACGCCCTGCGAGAATAAGCCGATTATAGCAAAACACGCTACGAACGATGCACCGCTTTTTTGGAATCTCATTCCCGAATAACCAATGACCAGGCGGTCCTGGTGGTAGCGACCTTGAACTATAATGGGAACGTATGAATACAACAAGAGTAGCTGCAAGGACACAAGCAAGCAAATCGAGCAACCAGGACATCATGGTAATCGAAAGAGAGATAAGGTAGACACCGTGGACAATGCTTCGACCAATATAAGCACGCAGGTAGACATCGGATCACACGATGCAGTCACGATGGCTGAACGTGAATCACGAAGCCAGAATCATTAGTCAGGTTGCGGCGCTGGCGCGGGTTTGAACTGGGGGTACTCAATGAAATGCTTCTCATCGCACAGAGAACTTAAATAAGGTCGCTTATTCACACACCTGTGAGAACCATCCACCTAAAGTTCTGCCTTCGGATGGTAGATGAAGATTTCCCGTAATCCATGTCGAAGAAAGCACGCTCGACGAGAAACAAATCCCATCAAGGTAAAGAGCGGAATGTGGGAACCATCAAGCAAGGCGGGACGGGATTTGGCCTTCTTTACTATCTTTTCGTTTAATTCCCACAAAATCAAAAGACAAAAATTTCCCGTGTCGTACCTCTTCTAGCCGTCGCATTAATTGCAAGAAGAAAAAAACATCAAAGACTGACCTTTTCCTGACAAAATCGCATATGTTTGATTCCTGCACACATGGCACCCGGCATCCCCTCATCATGTCAAAATATTGAATTGGTATAGTAAAAAATGCGTCTCCTGTCCACGGTTCAGCTGGTATACAATCTCGTACTGATCCAAGACCACGCACGCGCCGTCCAGCGAATGCAGAAACATAAACAAAGATATCAATAAATTACACTCCCGTCATCCCGCACTTATACCCACAGAAGACCGGTGGTACAACTATTCTGGTGGCGGCGTTTCCTGGTTACCACGATCTACCCACAACCGGAACTGGCTTCCCAGCGAGTCGCTCTTCTCACGACCTAGCCTCTCACCAAACTCCGCCTGGGATTCAGACTTGAAGGCGCTTGCAAGGCTTCGCCGAAGGGACCCGATTTTCTCCCTCAAGTCCCGTAAAGCAGCAGCCTGTCTGGCCTCCAACGAGATCGACGAATTCCGAACGGACCGAGGATGCGGCGCTAAGGTAGGCCGCGCGACGCGTTCTGGCTTTACATCATGGTCGCCCTTTTTCTCCGAGGGTGGCGGAGTGGATTCTGTGTCCGAGTTGTTTTGCGCTCGCTTCCTCCTGTCTCGAATGAATAGGTATAGCAGCAGGGTGCTCGTGGTGAGGAATATAACAGATACTATGGCGACTCCGATAATGTGTTATGGATATTGGGTATCCACTGATTCGGTGCATGAGTCAACACATGCCCGAACTCGGCCTTCTCGGTCCTAGTAGTGACTCGCTCGTACTTTCTCTTACTTCCTCTATTCTTCCTATTGATACTAGAATATTATGGAACATTATAGAATAATAATGACTCTAATCTTTCCTTAGTATATAAACTCGTAGGTAACATTGTATTAGGAAGCTTTTACCAATCTACCACTTTCAGGACACCTTCACTGCGTGAACCCTCAGCTATGCCTAGCGCTTGCTGAACAACTCGTTGGATACGCCTAGCGCTTTCTGACACCAACCCGAAGGTTACGCTTAGCGCTTGCCTTCACCCACGGCCCGTAATAGCTTCGCGCTTACAGGCTTTCTATATCGGTAATTGCTCCGCGCTTACTGATTTCCTTTATTTCGCAAACCGGACCTCTCAGGTCTCCTCACGAACCCTCGCCGGAATCCATTATATTCCCTAACGACGTACATCATTTCTAATTAATCATACCTCGCTTCGATCATCACTCCTCGCCTCGTGCTCGCATCTCCGGATTTCGGCAGATCCATAACATAATGGCACCGACGGGGATAACACATGCGTATGGCGGTGGCGGTGTACTGGGTAGCTTCAGAAGTTCTGAAGAGCGATCAGTGGATACATTACAGTCAAAAGAAAGCAAGTTAACGAACGAGGAGGAGGAACTAGTCGTAGTTATTCGTGCATCTTCAGGTTCTTCTTTGGCTGTATGTGAGATCGTCATCTTCGGCCATCCGTCATCACGTAGTCCGGGCTCTATCCAGATTGCCTGCTGACTACAACGAGTTAGCCGATCACATTTTTGGACCACACTGGCATCAAATACGCATGGAACAGGTCCGGAACAGAGGTTGGAGTTCTCGGTGGATTCCTAAGGATACTCCAGACATCGATTGTAAGATTGAGCAGCTCCTCCGGCTGGAGATTCGGTTTCCTCCGTTACGCCCTCAGTTCGGAAGTTATGATCTGGATCTCTCACAGAAGCACATTTACTTTTATGGCTTAACGGCAACGCTAACTTGTCTCGAAGCTGCACATATCCGGATGCCTGCAAGCCTGCCTTCGCAAAATCAAGTCGTTATGAACGCGTTAACATATAATGATGTTCGCCATCCTGTCGTATGGAAAATCTTCGTCACTCGTGCGGTTGATCAGGGATTATTTAGTCGCGCGAGCGATTCCTTTCTTGATAGCGAGATGTGTTTCAGTTTAGTCGCGTCACTATTTCTCCCAGACCAGCTCTCTTCCGCATCATCCTGGATAACTTTGGCGGACACCGCAGCTGAATGTTTCCCTGACGAAGTTCTCGATAATCTTCTCTCCTTCTTTGAAAACTTTGATTTGCATCAGGAGTCTATGGAACGTCGACCAAGGCCGGCACTTCTGCTCGCAATCATGCGTCTCTTGGTACTCGACTCGGAACACTCCGAGTTAAACTTGACCGGCGTTCATTCGAGTCAGCGTCGCTTCTTCCATAATAATTCTACGATCTCCAAATACCCACTGTTAACCATTGCATTGTATGCCATTAGTAGGGGCATTCACGATCCTGACACTTCACCTTTTCTATTTTGTCATCGTGGAGTATTCGAGGCGATACTCCCTTACATCACATCTGAATTATTCGTTGGGACTTCTACACATTCTCAGAAAGGCTTGCCACAGTACGGGCCCCTCGTTTCGACATGTTGTGCTCACGCACTTGCATGCATGGCTTCGTTTATAGAGCAAGGTTCTGACTTTGGCGGCGTCGTGCCGCTCACTGAATGGGCCACGAGGTCCCTATTTTCTAATCTCCTTCGCGTCCTGGCCCAAAGGGATGAATATTAGCAGTACAACAACCAGCGCGTACCCTATAAGCGCTTTGGCTCTCTCTTTGGGGTAATTAGTTTTCTGTTGGGTCGAGGATTCTCCGGTGGGATTTTCAATGCATACGAAACTTTTAGAGAGGAACGAAGCTTGCAGTATATCGCCCAGCAAAGCTCACTTCATATATGGGCCATCGAAGGGCTTCAGGGCTATATCACCCTACTTTCGGAGGCGACTAACGAGACGGCCACGGGGCATCACACTCTATGTATTTAGTCTGAGGTACTTCAATCACATATCGAAGACCTGCATCAAGCACCCGTCATTCTGGCCATTTGTATGAGCGTCGCACTCAATGGAATCCCCCCACGTCCAATCTTATCTGCACTGACTTCAATTGCTCCTGATCACCATGAATGGAATACATTGCTTAACATCGCGGATTGGCACATAGATGAGTACGCCTTCCTCGAAAGCTACTATTCCGACAGTCGCGAAGTCATACCTCCAGGTGATCCGAAACGTCTGAAAAAGAATCTAAAAGAAGTTGTCAATGTTCTTACAGACTGTATTGGGGCCACAAACGATCACAGTAGCCGTGTCTGATCGGGTAAGTAAACCATATGCCTCTTTCCGATTACCGTCGACTGAATACTCTCCGAGCCATTGAGGAAAAACTTTCACCTGCACTGGGTCGTCGGAGACTCATCATGGACTTCAATGGAGAAGGTGGAAGAAATGCTACTCGGTTCTAGGAAGCTTGAAATGGGTCTCACGGAGAAAGATATTGAGCAAGGATGATCCACAATCTGAATAGTGAAGGCATCTGTACTTTAATCAGACTACTACGTTCCGCAGTGCACATCTTGACAGCGTGGTTCAGAAGGCGGTTTGAACAGAAAAGACGGTTTGAGGATAGAGTCGACCAGTTTCACAGTTGTAGCTATCTCAGTACGAATTCCCAGGCTCGCGTTGAAGATGCTGAGTTTCCTTTGTTTGTTCTACGCCTGATTCCGTAGTATAGAAATTAAAGTTGATTTTCACTTTTCGACCCTTGTTACAATTACGAGTGTCGACCTGAGTTACTAAGGAAACCATGTGTTTCTCCGTTCAAGTAACGACAGAAATCTGATACGCGGTCAGTACATTCTCTTTATCCAAGGAAAATATATCAGACGCGTGCTTATTTTATATCCAGTGTATTCTTTCATATGGACACCATTTTCCCGTCTGTATCCTCTCCCTTTGATCTACCCATTGTCTGCCATTGCTTAGCCTTCAGTGTGTATTGTATCGATTTTGTCGACTCTCGGCTTTGCGTGAAGGCTTAGGCTGTGATAGTAATACATATAACTAGATGGCTAGACCAATGTCATCTCCCTCCGATTTCCGGCCCGGCTCGATGATAATGATAATGACAATGGCTCAACACCGTCAACCCGCTTCCCTCCACTCCGACGCGTACCCGCCCTCTCTGCTCCGAGTTGGCTCTCTATATCTCCCGTGCCTCCCGTGCTGCCGACTCAAGATGCCTCCACACACATACTTAACCTCTACTCTGCACCCCAACCTAGCGACTTTGCATGGTCTCTCTATCTGATCATCCTCCTTGCACCCTCCCCGTTCCCCAATCGGTGAGTCTATAACTATTTCACCCCAAACTATGACCGTTTTCAACCTACAACAACACTTGAATCTTTTTCTCGTATTCACCTCGCGTTTAAGTCTGTGAATAAACGAACGGAGGAAAAGAGACTCCGCACTGCTGTCGTTGTATGCCCCGGCATTGAACAATCGGAGACGGGGGGAGAGGGCCGTGAAGTGTGCTTGTAGTGTGTAATCCGGGGATGTCGGAATACAAGATAGACAGCCTAGAACTCGATAGGATATCAGCCCATTTAGCCAACTCGTTTGCTACTCTCGACTGCGTTTTCTTTCCGGGGGGAGTAGAGCATTTCAATGGTTACCCTCTCGATATTTTCGCTGTCTTTCCCGACCACGACGTGTTCGTGAACAGGATCATACGAGACATAACGTTCCTCCTCTGGCACCACCTCCTGCGAAAAAGAAACAACTTCCGTTAAAGGAACCGAGGTTGCAAGAACAGAACCTGGGGGACAATCTTTCGTCCGCATTGATAGCGATGACGTTGGAACTGCGTCCGTTCACGTTGATCTTGTTGAAGCCCCGGACCATTGAGACGTACTACTCCAACCGAGTGAGGAGGCGGGGAGATAAGACTTAGTAGAAAGAACTTGCGAGTTTCTTCGCCATGAAAAGCTAACCGGCGTCTAAGCGCTGGATCTTCGGAGTATGGCGGATAAGACTCGAACCACTGAGATATTGTTGTACTTGAGGAGGAGTACACGCACTACTTCACCATTCGGCATCGAGTATCCCTGAATATCAGCACTACCGAACAAACGGCGCTTCAAAGGCCTTACATGCCTTGCGAAGTACATGATAACATGGAATTCCCAGCCTTGGAGCGGTAGACGGGACGCCAGTCTATTCTTTGAAGCCTTTCTGTTCAGGCATGCATCATCTGTGCCGCCGACCCGGCGTTTACACCAAACTGGATGGATATCATGTTGCCCGTACTTCAGTGTTAACTGGTTTTAAGGGATAAGAGGGTGGAATTTTCTTGTCTCTCGTCAGAAGACAGGGACAACGTCTACAAAGGCTTGAGACGCGAAAGAATGCGGCAGAATTTAGAAAGATGACAGCGGACGGAGAACATCGGCGAGATCGGGCCGATCACGTAGCTTCTCTAGACTTTAGGGCAGGGTGCTTCGTTTCATTCTGCTATCTCTCTGATTGTGTCCCAACAACCCTCAGTTTGAAGAACGGGATGAAAAGAAGCCCTGATCCCTGACTGTTCCTGGCTAGCTCATTCGCTTGTCTCATCTCTTACGCGGCCACCACTGGTTCTAGAATTTGGTACGTCCGTTGGCGCCTTTCCCTACGATGGCCAGATGAGATAAACCTCGCTTTTCCCAGTGGTCGAAGACGTCGATCATGTTTCTCCATTCGCAACGCTGCAACAGAATGCTGGCTAGTGATAAGGATGTCGACGATTTTTAACAAGCCACGAGTGGTGGTGGAACATGTGGAAGAGTCAGTGTCAGAGGCTGAAGAGGAGGGGGGGAGTAAGGTTTCGGCGTCATCGAGTGAGTCATCGCCGTCCGGAATCGAGCCGTTGATTGAGGAGCATGCAAAGCTCATGCATGCGTATCATGTTCAGGTCCCGCCTCTCCCAGCATACTGCCCGCCCCAGGTGCAGCGCAATCCCCACTTCTTTCAGTAGAGGTGCTGACTGCGATCCTGTCATTCCTCTCGCACACGTCGGTGCCTGCACTCGCCCTGCTCTCGCGTGACTTCCTTGCTGCAGCGCAAGCGTGTTGTATGGCGACCTCAACATGACCGGTGTGCAGAACCCCGACGCACTGGGGGTATTCCTCGCCACACGACGGGATCTCACATCCCTCACACAGTCTCTTCGCGTCCCTGCATGGCGATCACCGCAAGTCCGGATGTACCTCATACCACGTGTCCTCGCCCGCATGGACAACCTCCACTCCCTCGTTCTCCCCTCCATTGATCTCCACATCATACAGCACCACTCCGCCTTTGATCTCCGGCATATCGAGTTTGGCGACACCCACCTCTCCGGGCAGGCTGAGGCTAATCTTCTCACGCGGTTGGATGGCCAGACTAACGTCGTTTCGCTTCGTTTTCCTTTCCTGCTTGAAGATGACGACGGGGACGAGCCACCACCGTCTACGCCACTTCCCGCCACTCGGATGCGTACACGGCTTCTCTCCGCGCGCACCACACCTAGTCGGCTGTCTCTATTTCCCATGCCTCCGCTATCCCCGCTACCACCGACTCTAATCGACGTGTCTATAACTATCTCCACCCCAATATATGCGGGTTTCGTCCTACATCCACTCTCGAATCCCTCCCTCCCTCTGTCCGCTGTCTCCACTTTGTCTTCAAGTCCGTCGGTAAACGCAAAGAAGAAAAGAATCTCCGAAGCGAGGTCGTCGCATACCCCAACATTGAGGAACTCGAGTTCGAAGGAGAGGGCGTGTTGGGGTAGCGTCGTTTCCCACTTCAAGGCCCTCCGGGCCACTGGTAATGCGTAAATCGGGGATCGCGCAAGTGAAACCAGCGAAGGAAGAGTTCGACGAGAGGTTCCCTCTCCCTAAACGAGCTAGGACGCGCTCGACGTCCTCAACCATAAGTCACTCCGGCCACTCGATGGTAGTGAGCGAATGTGCACGCGCGGTTCGTCTAACTACTGCGTGTCCTACCCTCGAGCGCATCGTCTTTCCAAACGGAGTAGAGTGGTGTTGTCCACCTCCTTCGCTACCGACTGTCCCCCACTCGAGATCGTCTCCGTGTCTCGTTACGGACAATCTGTTCGTGAAGAGGGTTGACCCTGGTGTTCCTCCTTTGCCGATACCTCCAAAGAAAGTGGTTCCGTTGAAGGAGTAGAGGTTCGCGAGGACGGATTGATTCATGGTTCAGTAGGTCTACATGCCTGAGGCTCGCTCTATCCGCGATGAACAGGATCGCCCCGCAGGTGGAGAATTGTTATGGATATTGGGTATCCGTTGATTCGGTGGCATGAGTCAACATATGCCTGTACTTGGCCTTCTCGGTCTTAATACTGACTCGCTCGTACTTTCTGTTACTTTCTCTATTCTTCCTATTGATACTAGAATATCATGGAACATTATAGAATAATAATGACTCGACCCTCTCCTTAGTATATAAACTCATAGGTAACATTGTATTAAAAAAGCTTTTAACAATCTACCACTTTCTGGACACCTTCACTGCGTGAACCCTCAGCTACGCCTAGCGCTTTCTGACACCAACACGAAGGTTACGCTTAACGCTTGCCTTCACCCACGGCCCGTAATAGCTTCGCGCTTACAGGCCTTCTATATCGGTAATTGCTCCGCGCTTATCGGCTACTTCCCTCAGTAATTGCCTCCCGCTTACTGATCCCTTTATTTCACAAACTGGACCACTCAGGTCTCCTCACGAACCCTCGCCTGAATCCATTATATTCCCTAGTAACGACGTACAACATTTCTAATCGATCTTACCTCACTTGAAGGATCGCCACTCCTCGCCTCGTGCTCGCATCTCCGGATCTCGGCAGATCCATAACGCAAGATTGTGTGTGCGATAAGCGACTACTGCATTACAAATGGGAAGTTCGATGTGCTCAGGCGACGGAGCCGATGGGCATCGTGAGGGGGAAAATCATCCTGGAGACTTACGTGATCGATCACACGGGCATTTATGGGCATGGCCAGAAAATTGGGACCGCATCAAACCACCTGTTCGACGGCTGCCATGTAGATAAGGCCTGGAGTATAGCGCCATATAATCGGGTGTGCGAAGCACTCCGGCGACTGGCGGGGCCTCTGGAAATGAAGGAATGGAAGAGCAGGTACAGGATTCTGAGAATCGAGGATGCTGTGCCGATATCTGGTCTTAAGCCGAGGAAGAGGAGAGATGCCAGTAGCAAGGAAACTTTGGGAGAGTCAATAGCATTACAGCGCTTGAAATTTAGCAGTTTCCTGACCAACGAATTAGCGCTGCGAATTGAATGGTGCAAATTAAGAGCTCGCATGCAGTGGTGGGACGAAGAATGTCGTTTCTCCTTCGAGAGGAGATGCAGAGAGTTTTACACTCGCACAATTACAACACCGGTATTTGGCGCAACAGAAGTCAGCATGCCCTTCCAGGCGCAGCGGGCGGTGCACGTGCCTATGCTCTTCGTCAAGCCGACATACGGCAGCGGATGAAGACATACTGTGAGTGAATATGGAGTTCTGTTGAGGATTGGTTGCGGATTGGTAACGTAGACGACGACGAAAGCGATGACAGAGATTCCAGGTGAAGAAGGACACAGCGGACCATTCTCATTCGATGATGGTGGCACCGTATCGCTAGGTCCAAGAGAGGGAATGGGGAATCGCTGGTGATAGTCGCGGGTGTAGCTACGGCGCGGATATGGTACACGTGATCGCGGAGGAACCGGACCATGCCTACGAGGACAACGCGCGCGCAAGAATCATGAGGTACAAACTTCAAGGTACAGAGATGAGATAGATCTGAAGAAAGATCGATCGTTACCTTTCAGCAAAAAGTACGCGAGAGGCGGGCAGCGGGATTTGATGCTACACAAAGGCTGAATAAGCAGGAGCCCTCCCCTGAGGAGGAGCGGAAATTATTAATGAGAGGGACTGAGGACTACGAGCTATTTTTAAAAAGTAGCAAGCTGTTGTTAGAGGCATTTATTAATAATAGTGGCCTTATCCAGTGAAAAATTAGAATGAAGGTAAGTACCAAATGTTGACGCTTGCTTGATGCGTTGAAGCTCGCTCATTGGGGGATACTTCGACTCAGCACTTTGGCTTGGGTTTTACACACATGATTAGCATTTGTGCGAGGAGCGGATCTGATTCCCGTATAGTTCGAGTTATGTATTCAGGTAGCTCAGAAAAGCCCAGCTTCATAAACTCAAAATGTCATGTCCATATGTATTTGACGCAGACTTCGGAAACACCCTCTTTTGGCCATACTATTTTATATACCCGACTCCCGTCCTTTGCCCGGACATCCGAATCTCATATCAAAAAAGCAGCTTGCGTGTATGCTCTTACGTCTCTCAATCATCGCTAGGAGAATCATCATTCCATTAGGGGTGGTCAGAGTCGCGATTCTGACACGATTATGGCACGATTATGGCAACGATTATGGATGCGATTTTGTTGACAGAATCGTGGGAGAATCGTGAATCGTGCAGAATCGTTGAATCGCCTCTTTGGAGGCGATTCGACGATTCTCGCGATTCTCAGTCACGGCGATCATGGTTTCGATTGTCCCTGTCAACCCTTGACGTCAAAAGCTTAGAAGCCGCCTTACATAACCGACATCAGAATCGTGGTCAGAATCGTCGAAGAGCCAAGGGTGGTCAGAGTTCCTCGCGATTCTCCCACGATTATGGAACCATAATCGTCTTCAGAATCATGGTCAGAATCGCCTCAGAATCGCGACTCTGACCGCCCCTATTGACATTGTTGCCACAGTGCCGGTTGGCAGGGTTCATAGATGATAGATTTGAGCGGTGCATGCCCAATGATCACTATTGTCTGAGTCATACAAGTGGGTCAGAACGATAGTCAGACTGACGATTCTTCATCTGCATGTCCTTACGCATTGTAATACTCTCTTGTACTTTTCAAACCTCAGAGTGAACCAGCGAACGTTAGGACTGCACACTATAAGCGTATTGGACAGTTTACACACCGAAGTTGTGAATTGTTTGGAATATGCAGGGCATTACGGAAATCAGCTGCTATATTCCCGTCTCTGGTGGCTTCTGGCATCTACTCTTCATCTCGTCAGGTTCTTCGGTGCGATACCCCCGCGGCTCCGCGGCATTTTAACCCGCAGACTCTATAGATTCATAAGCGAAGGAAGACTTGGATAATATTGATTTGAGTAATAAAACAGGCCGGAAAAGATAACGTCTCATACTGTGCCTTACTCGGTAGGCAGTATTTGTAAGGGATGAAGCTTCAAACGATCGGGCTTTACCTGCGCTCTCCATTTCAGATATCGGTTGCTCTCCTGTCGAGATTTAAAGTCTTGGTAAGGGAGACTACTTACTATGCTTGATAATAGACGAGAATGAAGGTACCTTCATCCTCACGCAGATGCTACCTACTAAATTGATTTCATGGACATGATAGGATCGTGTTTCATCAACTCAGTTCTTTCTATAATCGAGTAAGCATTTGTAGAAATCTTATCATACGATTCTCAGTAATGAAAATCAGGAGAGACCAGACTATATTGGAAGACGGCGTTGAGTTTTGACGGGTACTCCAGGTATATTTGATGCTATCGATGACTCTACCGGAGGTTGAGGACCGCAATAAGATTCTATTCAACGCAGCCCTCTAAATATGTCAGCCTTCAGGCTTGCAATCAGAATCAGAGATGAGTTTTCAAATTACATATGCCTTACGCGTAATATCGAACAATCTCGGATCTCGTGAGAGGCGATTCTGAGGCGAAGGAAAGATGTGCATTTCCCAGGAAATTTAAATACCAAGCGAGAACTGATCGAGAACCAGAGTCTCGCCTGAGGCATGCATATATACATTCTAAAACCTAGAAATCTAAATGGGATCCAGACACCTGTGAGTTACTGAAGCTGGAAAACGAAGTGGTTTAAACGCGGGGAAATGAGTTATTATTTCAATCATTCTCAGGGTCATTTGATAACGTGAGGATCTCCGTGCAAGGCAAATATGCCTCAGTGTGTTACCCGCCGTATTACACCGTGTAGGTTTGGGTCAAGGCAACCGTGTTTATATGATCTTCAGGGATAGGATGCTGACCTGACAGTTACCACGTGCCGGAACGATTCTCCGCCAAGAAATGATTCGAGTACGAATGCGGTCACTTAACCTCGTTACTCCCAGTATTCCATGATCACCCCCGTGGGGCTTCATGGTTTAAGTGCGAATTCTTTCCGGGAAGGTCACGACCCCTGTATGCACAAAAACATTCTTTTTGGGTTGGTCAAAGGCAAGACAACACGAAAGCACTGGTTGTCGTTACTAGAGACGTAAAAAAATGACAGCTAAGTTCCGACTACTCGCCTTATATTATGTCTATGTGCAGCCTTCAATTGAATGTCGTTGAGCTCGTGTCCTATACCATCAATTGGCCGTCAGCTACTGAATTGAAGTTCGTGCTACTACCGGAGATGCATATCAGAAGCATGTCTTATACCAATTTTCGGGGGACCAGTACCGTTGACGAATCATACCAGTAAGTTGAAAATCCGAAAATAGACTGATACCTCAAAAGAAGGTACGAAAGGCCGTGCCGTTACTGAGTCGCGACGGTTTGAATGTGGGAAGATTCTGGCAGAGAGAGTAAGGGCCGGAACCGTTAGTGAATCATGATGACAATGTCGGCCCAAACCAAACCCTGAGTCAGCCACATTCATCGCCCTATCAGATGCAAGTCTCAACGAAGTCGGAATGTGTTACTACGTCTATACTTTCCAAGTCTTCTCGGAATTAGAAACCCGAACTGCGTGATTGCAAAGAAGCATTAGGGAAAGTAATGTCGGACCCGTGCTCCTAGTGAATA